CAGTACTGGGAAGGTGGATTCAGAGGAAATCATTTAGAACACTGAATTCCTTTTGGTCTTGGTACTAAAAGACTCTTCAAAGTTTGGGCTGCTCTCATGAGTTCAAATCTGCTCAGATCATCCTTGGAGCAGCTACGTGGCACAGTGGATAGAGTGCCAAGCCATTTTCCTGAGTTCAAATCTGGCCTCAGACACTTACTAGCTGTGTGACCCTGGGAAAGTCATTTAATCCTGTTTTCCTCAGTTGAGCTAGAAAAGGAAATGGCAAACCAGTCTAGTATCTTTGCCAAGAAAACCCCAAATGGGGTCATGAAGAGTTGAGTACAAATGGAAAATGACTAAACAACAACAGCAGATCATCCGTGGAGATATGGGGTGAGGTTATATTAAGGAGGTTCCCAGTTTTGTGTGGTCTGATATAATTCTAGAGCTATTTCTGGGGAGAGCAAATACACAGTCTAAATCTCTTTGTAATGAATTTTCAAAGGGAATGATAGTGAGATAGGGCATTAGCATTCCAGGAGGGAGCTACCTTCTGCTCCCAAATGGGTGCCATGCTTTTCCATTTCCATGCCTTTCCTCACACTGTTTCCCATTCCTGAAATGATTTTTTTCTTGTCAACTCTTACATTTCTACTCATCTTTCAATGCCCAACTCATATGCAACCTCTTCTAAGAAATCTTCCCTGTTATTCCTCTACTAATGTCAACAATGACCTCAAACCTCACTTAACTATAGAACATAATATTACATGATAGCTGTGTATTATCATGATATCATGTCTTATTCTCCTCTTAGATAGTAAGGTCCGTGAGTGTAGGGTACATGTCACATCTATACTTTTTAATCTTCTGTACCCAGTGGAGGCTTGATAAATATTTTACTGAACTGAGAGGCTCATAAAGAAACAGCATGGTTTGGTTAGCAGAGTATTGAACATGGAGGCATGAAGAGGTGGGTTTAAATCCCACTTCAGGCACTTAGTTATTAGCCATGTGACCTTGAGTAAATCACTTACTATCTCTGAGCTTCAGTGTCCTTACTTTTTTTTTTTTTAAGAGGGAGAAAGGAGAGAGGGATAATAATAGCAGCTATGTTACAGAATTGTGAGATTCAAAGAGATTATATAATGCTTTGCAAATCTTAAAACACTATACAAATGTCAGTTATTCTGATCAATAAAAGCAAGCAATATCTTCTAAAGAGGGTCCAGGGCTAGGAAAAGGAGGAACCAGGTTACTATAGGCCAAGGCTCAAGCAGGTTTAAGGTTTAAGATACAGTGAGCCCTATAGGAATATAAAACACAACTGAAGCCAACTTTACCAACTAATAATTAAAAGAATCAATTAAAAAGGAAACTAGGTTAAAAGAACTCTACTTAGTTCCTCCTAGAGAATTAACAGTCAGGAAAGCTTTCCCCTGAGAGCAGCAAGACAGGAAAGGTGAAGCTTCTTACCTCAATTCCCCTCAGGCAGGCCATTTTCTTCTTAGGGAGGAAAGAAGCAAAACATTCTCCTAATTCCCTCTGAGGACCAGTAAAGGACTAGCTTACCCCAAAATAGATGTCATTCCTATAGTCCTGACACTCCTGCTTCCTAAGACCCCAACATTCACCTTGTCTTGGCCTTAACACATATCTATACCATGAGAGGGCGGAACCCAGGTTTCCAGCCTTCTCCAGCAAAGATGGTCAGGGAGATGGGGCAGGGCTTGGAATTGTTTTTTCCACTGACAGCTGTGTCATCTAACAAACCGAGCAGCCCAATACTCTCTTATGTGTTGAGTGTCCTCCTCTTTTATGCTGAGAAACAATGGAGTGAATAGTGTGGATTTGGGACCAGGTAGCACCATTTGGGACCAGGTAGTGTGGAGAGATGGGTTCCCTCTCTTTGTTTGAATGGCAAAGGCAAGATTGGGCAACTTAAGTTTCCAATTCTAGATCAAAAGAAAAAGAGTGATAGGAAAAGGGTACACAGAATAGTGGCCACCTCTATTCTCTTACAGAAGTGAGGCAAGGGACTACAGAGCACTTCATTTATAGTTTAGGAGACCTCACTGTGAATTTCAGCTCAGCCTCTTATTACCAACTTACTACCTAGGAAGTCATTTTACTGAGTCTCAGTTACTAATCCCTTCTAGGGCTAAATCTCAGGAGACCCATAATTTTCCTTCTTTTGCCACCCTCCTAATAAAAAGACTCAATCTCTTCCTCTCTACCCCACTGGATGATCCCAGAAGTATTCTCCATATTCTAGCTTTTGCAGCCTGTCTACCAGAACTGGATCCCACTTGATGAAGGCTTTGCTTCTTGGAAACGCCGGTGATCAGAGTAGCTAAGCTGTCAGTTTAACTGACCTCTCCCAAAGCCACAATCTAACATTATTCAGATGTTCTCAGTCGTCACCATTTACTGCTCATGTAGCATGGCTGTGAGCTCATGGAACACAATCATCAGCTCATAACTTTAAAAGAATTAAAGGTAATATGTACTGGGTTGGAGTCTTATTTTTCCTTTCAAATCAAATCCAGTTGTGGTTTTGTCTATCTAGGTCCTAGTATTTATTTAATCCCACTCCCACCAGTAAAGAAAGGAAAAGGGAAAGAGGTTAGAAAAAGGAAAGGCAAGGAATCTGATGAAAAATCAAACTTCAGGAACAAACAGGTTAACCAATGTTTTTAGTTGTAAAAAGATGAGTGAAAGTTTTGTGCAGGATAGCTTGAAAGAAGGAAAAGCTGGAGGCAGAGAATTGAGAAGACAAAAAAAATGGTGAGAAGACTCAAAATGATTTTATAGGATGATGTGTCAAAGGAACAAGGGATAATTAGTCTGGACAAGAGAACACTTGGATGATGTGGAAGGAACAACAGGGGGAGGTGGCATCTCTCCCCAGGTATTTAAAGGATTGTCAGGAAAGGATCCCTACTGGAGGTGGCACCTGAGTAGAGCCCTGAAGGAAGCTCATGATGCTGAGAGGCAGAGGTGAGGAGGGAGAACAGTCCAGACATGGAGGAAGTAGGAGTGGGGAAGTCTGTATGAAGGCACATTTAAAAACAGAGGAACACTTTGCAATGCAAGAATGATCACTAGGAAAGCATCTGAAAACTAGTTTTTAGAGGGATCAGGCATGGATAAGACCTCTGTATGAAGGCAAATAAGAAACTACCTTTAGTCTAGAAAGTAGAGCCTAAATCAGAATTACAACTCATTTCTTAAATACCTATGATTTCCTGCTTTTGTTATTTCTGCTTTCTTTTAAATGATTCAAACCTTAGATTTATTTATGATCTTATGACCTGAATAATCGTATTACTTTCATACTAGGCTAATTAGGTGATTAAAAAAGAATTCTTATTTACAAATATAAACATATATAATATATGCATATATTGTATATGTGTTACACACAAATAGATGATAGTCAATCATAAATATTTAATAAACAACTAGTTGTTTGTGCCAGGCACTGTGCTAAGCTCTGAGGATACAAAAAGAGGCAAAAGATAGTCCCTGCCCTCAAGGAGCTCACAGACTGATGGAGAAGACAACAAGCAAACAAAAATGTACAAACAAGCTATATACAGGACAAATAGGAAATAATTAAGAGAGGAAAGGCACCAAAACTAGTAGGGGCTGGGAAAGACTTCTTGAATTTTAGTTGGGATTTTTAAAAATGAAGGAGGTAGAGATGAAGGAGGAGATCATCCCAGGCATGGGGGGAACAAAAAGAGAAAGTTCTCAAAGCTGAGAGATGGAGCATCTAGACAGACAGACAGACAGACAGATGACAGACAGACAAATAGATAAGAAGATAGATAGATAGATAGATCAGTAGAGTGGAAACTAATTAGCTCCTGAGCTGTGACTTCTAGCTTTAGAAAGTTTACTTGCCCATGGTCACCCAGAAGGCAAGAGGACAAGAACCCAAGGTTTTCTGACTCCAAGTCCAAACCTTTATCCACTATGCCAAAATGACTCAAAATGTCTGTGTACATATACATATATATAAATGCATATACATATTATATATCCTTTCTAAACAAACATAATTATTTTAAAAATACATTCTGGAGATAGTGTATAGGGTACTTCTTGTCCCCATATAAGACCTATTTATCTCCTCAGTATTTAATTAACTTCAAAGCCACCATCACCCCCTTAGTGAAGTGAGAAAAATGTTTTTTAAAAAATTTAATCTGCAAAGCTGGATACCAGACAATGTAAAATTATAATTAATTCTCAGATCCACACCCAGCCCTCCCTCCCACACACCACACACAGCCACACTCCTTGACACACACAAAAGTTGTGTCTCATAAAATACAGCCTGATCCAGCCATCTAGTCTTAATTGTATCACAGAAGAACACTTACTGGGTGTGCCACTGTTTTTCTGAACTACCTGTAGTTTCTAAAACATCTATTCTAACTTCACTTCCCTGCCCTACTCCCCTCAATATCTGTAATCTCTCACAGACTTGTGGAGTTTTCTACTTCTAACCAAGAGAAAGTCTTAAGGGAAAGTTTTATGTTCTCCCTCATGATCTACTAAGCTAAAGTCACCAGAGACTTCAGACTTTCAGAAGGTCTCCTCCAAAGTGTATGAACATTGTAGTTCATGGCCTATTATTAACTTGGAGACCAGAAGTATCGACTCTATCCCATCTCACAAAAGTGCTACATATTCCAACATGCATAATGGAAAAATTCATTATAGATAAAATCATGAACATTTCAGCCTGGTGAAACGAAGGCTCCTACATCCCACACCAGAGTGAGCATTCTTGCCAGCCCTGGACAGTTTCACAAAGAGGTCCTGCTCTCAGTTTAGATAGAGATCTATATGAGAGAGGTAGCAGGAACTCCTGAGCTGGAACCAGAGTCAGAAACGGTATGAGACCGACTAGTGGTGTGAGGCGTGCTGATCTCTGCCCCCTCTCCCCCTGGCCATCAGAGGGCTACATTTTGAGGGAAAGCAAAACTTCGGGTAAATGGGCTTACTTTTCACAGAGATCTCCAACGGGATGACTTTGGCTAAGCTTGAAGCTAGGAGCTGGCTGGTTACAGGGACTAGTAGGAGCTGATAAAGTGCTTTTAACACTCTGCACTGAGTGCCTCCGGCTCCTTCTTCGATTTAATCCCCGGTGTTCACTTGAACCCAGACTAGCCCTTCGCCGGTCTTTCCGTCCATTGGGGGGAGGTTCAGCATTCTCATCACCATCCTCGTGCCTCAGTGTCATCTAAAGAAGAAAAAAAAGGAAAAAGCATCAATTCAAAGTCACTGTTTATACTAATTTGACAGGGAGTACGGAATAGGACAATAGTGGCAAATACATGGTGAATGCAGCCCTGCAACACCCCTGAGTGTATCCAGAAGCAGATTAAAATGTAATTGGGAAATATCTAACAATATAAATAAAAATACATCAGAACATAGATAATGTTAATATGTTTCAACATGCATTCTGCAGGAATCCTTCCTGTACTGTTTAATGACCCTGTTTCTATTTGAAGGTGATACCATTGACACATGGGTCAATTTTTATTTGTTTGTTTTCAGCGTTCTATTAGAAGTACGTATTTATTAATATTTCAAGCAATGGTAAGGGACATTATCCATAAGCAAGGATTCCCCTAAATCAGCCAAGAATTATAACTTAATATATAATTAAATTATATAGGGGTTTACACACCTGATGAAGGGAATGCTAGATATTTCTAAGCAATTATCATTACATATCTTATGTTTAAAGTTATAAATCAAGAACAAAGTGTTTATCTAGCAGAAAGGAAAAAAAATCCAAAGATATATCTGTAGTATTATCATATCAGTAACTTATCAATAACACATAACATCAGGGACGGCAAGATAAAATCAAGAAATTTCTATTACAGAGATCTAAACAACTGTAAATTATTAGAACAGGAGGTCTTTGTATCTGTAATATTACTAAAATAGTCTAATATATTATAATCAATCGGCAAGTAAGCAATCAATCTTGATGTTGCCATTACTGGTCTAAGCCAGAGACCTAGTTTATTCAGCTATATATCATTAATATCTTTTAATTCTACTTTACCAGTAAGTTTGAGACTTTAATAATCTATGTCTCCAACTATTCTCTTTGACCAATAGCCACAATAAGGACATCAACCTCACTCCTCTACTCACTGCCTTCCCCTTCTCACAGCTGGGATGCTACTCTTAAGATGACACTTACATTGTGGCTGACAAGTTGATTGTCTTTTTAAAAAGGTTTTATTTAGTATTTTATTTTTCCCCAGTTACACATAAAAACAATTTTTAACATTTGTTTTTAAAACTTTGAATTCCAAATGAAAAAGCAGCACTCTTACCATTAGGAGAATCAAGTTTGAATCTTGACTCTGAGTTTCCTTACATATAAAATGGGAATAATAATACTTGCCTGCCTCACAGGGGTCTTGTGAGGAGAGGACTTTGTAAAAGTTAAAAGTTTATTATTATTATTATTATTATTATTAAACTTTCTTATTGGCCCTAAATATTTTTATATTGGTTTTAGAACATATCTAATATTCAAAGTTTTCCCTCATAGTCTAAAGCAGTAAGTTCATAGGTATCTAATACTTCAATAGGGAACATTCTATGGAGCCTGATAACTAGGATATTTTTGTCAAAAAATATCATCCTCTGCATAACTTTCTTAAATTTTGCCTCATCTAGGTTCTCATTTTCTCTGTCAACAGCCTTTAATCAATCTGTACCCCTATTTTTTAAGTTCCTCATCTATCTTCATATAAAACAGATTGAGATACCCATAAATTCTTTATCACAAAGGACTAGATTTAAGATGAACTGAAGAAAATGAACCAAAAAACAGAACTAAGATATTCATCTTAATTTTCATCATTCCCAATAGTATTTTAGTGGCATAGAAACTGCAGAAATGTAAGAAGTAATTCCCATTCCCAAAGTAAAATAGATACATCTTCTCTGACCCTGAGACCATGGGTGGGTCACCATGTACAGAACTTATCCTAGAAAATGCCAGAAGGAAGAAGTTAATGCAAAGATCTGCATCTTCTCACTTTCTTCTCTAATTTTAACATTATCTGCCTCACAGACCTCCAGACATTGGAAAATGAACTCCCCAATGTCTCAAGAATTGAAACCTTTTTCCCTTCCTATTCAGGCACCTGGCAGAGTAATGTGCTGTGTGATCTGGGGCAAATTATTTAATCTTTATATGCCTCAGGCAACTCCTAAAGACTTACTGAGGCCATATTTGAACTCAGGTCTTCCTGACTTCTGCCCCAGAGCTCTCTCCAGTGTGCCACCTAGCTATAATGAAGTTGAGATGAGAAGTGAAGGATTATGGGAAAGCAAGAAACTGGCTTCTGCCTAAGTGCATATCTCTTCCTGTTTCTCCTTTTCCCACATAGGTGGGTAGGACTCTGCAAAATGGAAGGAGCTCCCACATTAGTAGCTCCCCATGAGGATAAAATCTCAGTTCTTGTGGGTATGAGAAATCATAAATTAATAATCCAAATTGATCCCTCAGATATTCTAAGTCAGTTTGACAGTCTTCTAAATATTGAATTATCTAAGAATCCATCAGTTGATATAATAATTTCAGGATACACACATCAGGCTTGCTAATGAAATTTAAGATTGCTCTTATAAGGGAATCTGAATTGGAAAAACTACTTCCCTACTTTTCATAATACCAGAAACAATTCCTTAAACTAAAGAAGAAAATACCCAGGCAAACCTACCATGTAACTCCTGGAATAAGCCTATCTTAAGTTCCACTTATATCCCTAATTGCCTATTAGAACAGTTAGATAATAGAAACAAAAGGTTAAGGCAGAATAAGAATGTCCACAATTTTAAAAAACTAATGCCCTGAGGTATAAATAATTACTAGCATTCCATTTACATTGTCTTTAAAGACACATTTCCTCATTAACTACATACCAGTAGTTGGCAGATAGGCTGAAACAAGTCTGTAAAATGAGACTGCAGAAACAAAGAACTGACCGTCTTTTATTTTGGCTTGATAAAGGCTTCCTGAAAGCCAAAACAAACCAAAAAACCAAAAAAACATAACAGAAACAATCCCTGGCAAAATTATCAAGATGATATAACTTCACAAATGAAATTTGATTGAACTTCACAAGCTTCACAAATGAAGTTTGGTTGAAGACAACCAAAGTCTTGTTAGACCTAGGTTATTTTATATATTTCTCTTCCCAAATTTCTTTGAACTGGTAGACTTTGCACTTGGGGATCAGGGGCAATAATGAATACAGTCTGGGATCAGTGTTGGGGATTGGCAGTTTTGATAAGGGAGGCAAAGTAGGGAAAGAGAGGCAAAGGGAGAAATAGAAGAGATATGTATTTGCATAGAAGCCAGATTCTCACTTTCCCAGTCTTCATTACTCATTTCAATCTCAGCCCTTTATGCATTGTAGTGAGCTGGTGAAGTCCATCGACTGTTAGACTTGGAGTCATGGAAAAAAAAAAATCAAATCTGGTCTTAGATACTTACTAACTGTGTGATCTTGGGCAAATCACTCAATCTTTATTTGCCTCAGTTTCCTCAACTATAAAAAGAGGATAATAAAAGCACCTACCTCACAAGGTTGTTGTGAGGATCAAATGAAATAACATTTGTAAAGCACTTAACACAATGCCTGGCATATAGTAGACACCTGATAAATGCTAAGTATTATTATTTGTATTATCTTCCCTGCACATCTTTGAGTACCAATCTGAAATTTTTCCCTACTTGTGGAAATTTCTAGAATTACGCTATTTCTTCCATGCTCTGTCCAATTATAAAGGGCCTTCTCTTTTGAAAAAAAAAAAATGGAAGTTTAGTGAGCTATGAACAGTATATTTCTACCAATATCTGGGAAAGAGTTTGTCCTGACTAGGGTTGGGAGCACTTGCTCACCTTGGGGAGGTCTATCCCTACAGACTCCCTACTTTCTCAGATTCTATAAACTTCTAATGTCTTCAGATAGGTTTTTTTTTTTCCTGACACTCCAACCTGGAACACTAAGAAAAAATAGTCATGGTGTAGGCTTTTCTTACCATCAACCCATGTCTTATAATGTCCTTAAATTTAACAATTTAACAAATTGTTAAATGGTGACAGGCAGTTAGGTGGTGCAGTGGTTAAGAGTTATGGGCCTGGAGTCAGGAAGTCTTGAGTTCAAATCAGGCCTCAGACACTTACTAGCTGTGTGACCCTGGGCAAGTCATTTAACCCTATCTGTATCAGTTCCCTCATCTGTAAAATGAGCTGAAGAAGGAAATGGCAAACTGTTCTAGTATCTTTGCCAAGAAAACCCCAAATAGGGTCTCAAGGAGTCAGATGTGACTAAAATGATTGGACAGCAACAACAATTAACAATAGTGACTTTGATAATACATATTTTCAAGATAAAGCATCTTTCTTTCTTTCTTTCTTTCTTTCTTTCTTTCTTTCTTTCTTTTTTTTTTGATCAGGGTTAAGTGATTTGCTCAGGGTCACACAGCCAGTAAGTGTCAAGTGTTAGAGGCCACATTTGAACTCAGGTCATCCTGACTCCAAGGCACATTTTCAAGCAATATCATGAGAAAGACATCTTCATGCATTTTATGTTGCAATCAGATTGGACTATTAGCTCGTGCTCAAACTGGACACTCCATCTCCCGTTTCCATTCATTGGCATCAGCCGCCCTCCCTGCTTTCTTAGAACATAACTCCTTCTTAATCTATGTCCTCAGAATGTTTATCTTCCTGCAAGGCTCCTTGTATGTGGTAATACCTCCTCTGCATAGTCTTCCTTGATCCCCTTAGTTGTTAATATTCTCTCCTTTCTTGAATAATTTTGTATTTATCCGTGTACAAGTTGCATCTCCCCAATATGATGCAAATTCTTCAGGGGATGGAGTTGTTTTGTCTTTGTATCCCTAGTACCTAAAACAGTACCTAGCACATAGTAGGTACTTAATAAAAAATAACTATAATATAAAGTAAGTACATAATAAATATATAATATACAATATAAAATTATATATCATACAATAACTATTATATATAATAACACAATATAATTATTATAATAAAATTAAAAAACTAAACTGAATACAACACAGATATGGCAGTGGGAAAAACACATTTGAAGAAAGTTTAATGAGAGGTCTAAGTAAGCTAGATTATCCCAAGAGCACTAAGATGAAACAATGAAAAATGGAAAAGATCTGTGAAGATACTTGTAACAAATGATTCTATCACTGGCAATAACTCAAAATTTTAAAACATGACTGTTAAAAATTTTTCAAATGTAATTGGGAAATATTTAATGAAATAAATAAAATACATTTAACAAAAAAGGAAACAGGAGAGATGGCCAAGTTTTCCCTAAGTTCCGTTTTCTGTCTAATCTTCAAAGTGAGCGTGTGGTTAACCAAGGGCAGGCTAGGTTACCTCATAGATGTTGAATTGCTCCATCAAGTCCAAGTCTGTGCCTTTCTTGTTCAAATGTCTCTGAGAAATGGCTTCAATGCCAAGCTCCTCCAGACAATCTACCACATCATAGAAAGCGTCTTGATCCGGCAATCCTGATAGAGTCTGAGGAGAGAAAAAAACAATCACAGTTTTAAAAGATTTTAACAAACTGTCCAGAAAGGCTGATTTGGCAACAAGATTTCCCAACGAGTTTGTTTTGTTTTGTTTTGTTTTTTTAAAACAGTCACTGATCCCAGTCAAAACAAGCGGAGCAAATCGGGCAAAAAACATGAACTCGTTTGAGCAAACTGCTTTCAAAATGTATAAAAACCAGATTTAGGCAATAAACCCTCTAAATTATTTTTTTTCTTTTTTGGCTAAATTATCATCATTCTTTTTTGATTAAAATTCAACAGAGGCTTCTCTGATCTATACAACTTAGAATGTGAAAATAAAAAAAAAATTAGAGCAACAAAAAAAGAGAAGTACAGCTAATAACTTATATTCCTTCACTGAATCATTTGAATATCTACTCAGTATAAGCAATCATATATAGGTGTAACCTTACTGAAACTCGATTTCATCATATGTAAAAGGAGAACATTCATATAACCAACGTCCTTGGGTTGTTTTGAGATTTCAAGGTTATTTGTAAATTTTAAAGTGCTATATTGAGAGTTATTGCTGTTGTTAATATAAATAATATTAAGGACAACTGATTACATTGTTCTAACTATAAATTTCTATAAGGGGAAATAGAATTTTCCAAGTAGAGGATCGCCAACTACTGAATACTGAGTACTACCATGTGAAAAACCTTCTGTTAATATCAAAGTTGAGTAAGACATTAGTGCCCACCCTAAAGGAGCTTATCAATTTTTCATGGACTTTGCCTTTTTTCCCTGTTAAAGAGATACTGATAATGTGAAAATATGTTTAATAGGAAAGTATATGTAGAGCCTATATCAGATTGCACTCCATCTTGGGGAGGGAGGGAGGAAAAGAGGGGGAGAAAATTTAAAATTCAAAAGCTTATGTAAGTGAATGCTGAAAACTAAAAATAAATTAGTATTTTAAAAAAAAGATATCGAATACATACCTAAATAAGGAAAGTCCCCCAGGCCACTCTCAATTCCATACCAGCTCTTTAAAATCAGAACCTGATATCTGGAAGGGACTTCAGAGGGCATTTAATTCATTCCCATCATTTTACAGTTGAGGACCATGCATCCAAGAGATGTGATGTGACTTACTTCATGTCATACATCTGGTTAGTGGCAGAGTAGGAATAGAACTCACATCTCTTGACTTACAGTTAAAGATTATTTTCTTCACTTATCCTGCTTATAAACTTTCCTATGCTCTGTATATGTCAGTAGACTGAGAAGAGCAACATTTTCACAGCTAGTTGTTCAGTGGAGTCATTGTTCACGTTGTACATTTGGAAGATGACAACAGATTTCAATATAACCTTCTCTAACACAGATTTTGGGGTTCTATACTAGAAGAGGGTTTCTCAACTTACAACCCAGATTCTACTTTTCCTTTTTCTATATTGATCAGGAAAGCCACAATAATATCAAAAAAGAACATAACAGACAAGCAGGACTGCTTTGGAGACTGTAGGTTCAATTTATTTTATATTTTAAAATAAAAGCAAGTGATACACAATAGAAATCTGTAGTTTCAAGGACAATCTTCTTTTTCTGTTTGGCCGTGTATATGGAAACATCTGTTTTATTTGTTGTATATTAAAATCAGAATAAAAATAAATAAGATTTTTATTTAAAAGCAAATCAAAAAAGAGCATGAGATGAATTAGAAATACTATCAGGCCCTATCAGGTTTTAGTTTCACATTTGCATTCTGGAATAAACACATACATTCTTGCACAGAAAAATGGCAAGACAGTGGCCTTTGAACTATGAAATCCTAGAAAATGTATCCTTAATCACAATGCTGAGTACTGGTTTTTGTTGTTCAGTTGTGTTTGACTTCATGACCCAATTTGGGGTTTTCTTGGCAAAGATACCAGAGTGGCTTGCCATTTCCTTTTCTAATTCATTTTACAGATAAGGAAAAGGAGGACTTGCCCAGAGTCACACAGCTACCAAGTATCTGAGGCCAGATTTGAACTCAGGAAGATGAGTCTTCCTGACTCCAGGCCCAGCCCTCTATCCACTGTACTCTATCTACTACACAACCTCACCTCCTTTTTTGAACAAAAAAAGCACAAGGAACAAAATCGCTAGGGCTGAAGCAAACATTTTGGCCCAAGCAAGTCAACATTGCTAAGATATTTTAACAAACGCTTTAAACAAGGTCCCCTTTCAAGTCCCAACTAAAATTCCTGCTTCTACAAGAAGCTTTTCCAAATCCCTCTTAATGCTAGTGCCTTCTCTCTGTTGATAATCTCCAAATTATCCTAGCTATAGCTTGTTTGTTTGTATCCTGATCCCCCCCCATTACACCAAGTACTTCTTTATACTCCTGGAGAACGAGGACTGCCTTCCCCCACCCTTCTTTGTAGCATCCCTAGCACTTAGCACAGGGCTTGTCTCATTGGTCAATACATGTTTATTGACTGACTGACATCGATCTACTTCAATAACATTGTATCATCACAACATTTTAATCGATAATAGCATCCATGTGGTATGTCCCACTGGACAGGCAGTAATTTAGCTTGCTACCTGTAAGATTTCTGTATAGGATTGGTCTCATACATAGGCAGTGTAGGAAACTACTGTTTTGACTGGGGAGGCACCAAAAGGCTTATTGACCCCAGATCAGCTTCTTGAATGCAAGAGTCCAGAGGCTAGGGGGTCAATTCTACCCTAAACTTATTCTTCTGCCCCTTCCTCTCCCACAAAATCTAAACTTTTGGGTGCTTTTCATACTGCATGCCATAAAACACCACATTTACCACTGTGCTACAAGTTTGTATTTTAATCGTATCTCATTTTCCCAGCTGCCAGTCCCTTTTTCCTGAACTTGGTTTCTGCTATAAAACTCAGATCTTCTATCCTCTCAAAGTTTCCAGCCTCCAAAGTTTCCACTGTCACTTTCAGGTGGCAGATGCCAGTCCCTATGGAAGACTTTATTCTGCTAAGCAGGATGGTATCCTTCCCCACAAACTACCTCTTTCCATTGTGTCTTTATCCCCTGGTACCAAAAAGAATCCTCTATCTCTTTCCACTTCTTGCAAATACAGTGACCTTGGCTTAAGAACTTGGAAACTTCTGAGAGAAAAGGCATGAGTTCCTTCCCCAGAGGGAACACTCTGTTCTCAGAGGAGACAGGGTGGAGAGAGGCAGAACCTGCCCTGACCCTTCCACAGCCCTCCACTACTCACTCTATTCCTTTCCTCCTCCCTCTCCTCACTGATCCTTGGGTTCTTCTCCCATTCCCTCCTCACTTCTCCCAGCCCTCCAGCCAGCACTGGCCCCCTCTTCTTTGTACGTAAAAGCCACAGTGCTGATGCCTTTCTTTCCTGCCAATGAGACAGAGAAAGGTAACAACACAATTTACAACTTGGGGTGCAGTACTGGAAAATTCCCCCATCCCTTTTTCAAACACACACACACACACACACACACACACACACACACACACACAAGGAAAAAAATGGCACGTAGCCCCTCAGTGACTTTGGAGGGAAAAAAAAGAACTTGACGTAGAAAAATCAAATAGAAAGCAGCAGGAAAAAACAATCTGTTCAATGAAACAAATAATAATACAAATAATGATAATGATGATAACAATAATAACTGACATTTATATGGTATGTTACGATCTGTAAAGCCCTTTATCTAAATTATCTCATCTGAAGTCTCACAGCAACCCTGGGAAGGGGGTACTTCACATACAGGGTGTTCTGAAAGTGTTAGTTAGTATGGTTTTAAGTTATTTAAGGTGCTAAGTTATGAAAGCTTAAAACCACACCAAGACTTCTGGGATACCCTGCATTATCATCCCCATAATTCAGATGAGGAAATGGGCTGAGAGAGGTTGTGACACCAATTATCACATAGCTAGTAAGTGTCAGAGGTGGCATGAAGCACCGTCTATAAGCAAGTCACCATGCTAGATAATAAGAATATAAAAATGAATAAAAGAACCTAGTCCCTGTTTTCAAGAAGCTTCCAATCTAATAGGTATGACAACACACAGGTAAATAAATAATACAAGGTGTTAAGAGCATCCAGACAAATTGCTATAAAAGTGTGGGGAAGAGAAGTCTTTTTCAGCTTAAGTGTAAGGGAAGACTTCTTGGGGAAGATGACTTTTGAAGGAAGAGAAAGATTTTTAGCAGGAGGAGATGAAAACGGAGTGTGTTCCAGGTACGAAGATCGTCTGCACAAATACACAATGGCAGTAGGGGGCAGAACCAGATCAGACCAACAATTCAGTTCCACTTGAACACTGAATGTCTGAAGGGAATCTTAGTCAAATGAGACTGAAAGAGCAGGCTGGGGGCAGATTTTGGAGGGTTTATTGTATGAGGATAAATAATTTGCATTTTACCCTTTAGGCAAAGGGAACACACTAAATATTTTTGAGTATGCAAGCAACGTGATCAATCTTATGCACTAATAAAATTATTTTAGCAATTGTATGGAGGATAGATAGACTGCACAGGTGAGACACTGGGGCAGAATGACAGATCAGGAGGTTATTATTCTAATCTAGATGAGGGGTAAGAAGAGACTAAATGGGGAAGGGGGCTTGGAATGGTGAGGTGGAGTCAAGCACATGTGGAGACATATCTTCATGTGCATATATGCTTGTGAATGTCATCCTTTAAAGCATGATTTCTCTACCACTGTGACCTGATATGATAAAGTATTATGAGGACTGCATCAGTACCATTTTGGGTTTTCTTATTTCCTTTCACGGAGGTTAGGTCCCATCAAAGGAGAAGAAAATAGAGAGAGGTATTATAGCCTAGCAGTGCGACTCATGGATAGATAACTATGTGGAGCCGTATATCATTACTACTACTACCACTGCTGCTACTACTACTACTACTACTACCACCACCACCACTACTGATAGCATTTACATAGCACTTTAAGGTTTGTAAAACACTTTACATACTTTAACTCATTTGATCCTCACAACAACCCTGTGAGGCAGATACTGTTTTCATTTCCATTTTACAGATGAGGAAACTGAGGCAGGGAAAGGTTAAGTGACTTGCCCAGGGCCATCAAACTAGGGAGTGTCTGAAGCAAGATTTGAACTCAGTTCTTCCTTGCTACAAGTCCTATGCTCTATCCATTATACTACCTAACTGCCTCTATTATTTTCTGTGCTATCGTTTGGAACAGAAAGTCAAATTTAAAATAGAGACCAACAACCATTTTAGCTTGCAATGGAGTAAGATAGCAGTAACTCAGCTCTAGAATATAGAAAGAAGTGAAGAAAAATAAAATCTTACATTATCTGACCTAATATCTCCTTGCCCTCTTCTTGAATTAGTTTCCATTTTCTTCTCTTTGGGGGTGAAGTCATTTATGTCTAGGTTTTAAAAGCTGCCTAGTACAAAGAATAAGGGAATCCACAGTGATAATTCGTAACAGGATGGGAGTATGACTGAGCTCAGGTGGCTAAGATTAAAACCTGTCCCCCTCCTGAGACCTAGCTGGGCTCCAGGCCAGGATAGGGGCCATTACAGTCAAAGGGCATCTTTGGATTTATAACTGAAGAACTTAATAAAGGATGTGGAAGAGTAGGCCAAGTGGAAGCATAGAATTCCTGGCTGCCATTACAGTGAGGTACAAAGAGGAATACGAGATTCTTCTTTTACCATAGATATGCAATTTCAAATAGTCAGAATTTACTACACAATGCAAATTAAAATGTTCTGAAGGTCCTTCTTAGGTCTCATAGCATTTTCTAAGGATAAACTGCAATTTTCCATTTTTAAGAAAAATTCTTTTCAACAGTATGAGCTTGGTATTTAAAGCAGTTACAAAATTATTACAATCATTATTTCATGTTAGAGGAAATCAGTAGATACTCTGATGAGCCCAATCACACTGCTGATTGCATCGATGTCTTCTATGTTATTCCTATCTTTGCCTTTCCATAAGTCGTCCATAGAGGATCCAATCAACATGCTTGAGACTTTCCTCCAATCCTTTTAATTGGGGGCGGGAATCAGTGCAACACTCAGGTTGTCCAATTGTTATCTCTCATATAAATGGACTACGTACATTTCTAGCCTCATATTTCACTAATTTTTTAAGCCACTATTTCAAGGTGTTTGTATATGTGTATATATGTGTGTAATACACAAATTAGTTGATGATAATGAATACAAGTTAATTAATATACAATATTATTGTGGATAGTATGTATTTTCTTTCTACTTATAGTCTTTTGCATGGGAACACTGAGAAAATAAGTGATGTGCTAATGCCATGAGAGTTCAGAATGGTGTTTACATCTTAAAATATAATAAAATTTTATTTTAAAATATAAAAACACTTCTTACCTCACAGGCCATTCAAAAGAGTGTTGACATTTGGCCCATAGGGCATTGGTTCCTGACCTCTGCATTGTACCATGCTTCCTCTTACAGGCAATTTATCACACCATATCATATCATCGTATATCATATTATATCACATGGCATATCACATATTATAATGTATTATGTCATATTATATCATGTTATATTATATATTACGCTATATGTGTTCTCTCAGGCTATTAGGAGGCAAGCAGAATTAATCCATGTTTTTCCTAGAATTTCCCTACTCATCCCTATTCCTATCTCTGCCTGCTTAGATCTTAGCCATCCCTCAAGGCCCAGATCAAATAAAGCATCCTGCACTTTGCAGCCATTCCCTCCCCCACCACCTAGAAGTGATTTCTTCTTCTCATGAACTCATAGCATCTCATATCCATTTCATGTACTCATTCTATTCTAATATGTAGTTCATTTTTCTAGATTTATGTTTTTTTCTTCTTCTACCAAACTGTTAAGTCCTACAAGAGCTGGGATAACATCATTTAAACATTGCATATGCTTTAGTGCCTAGCACAAGAAGGGGATGGAACCTAGTAAGTTTAGGTTCTTCATAATTTTTGTTGAATGAAGGAAGGAAGAAATGAAGTATGATTTATTGACCCTGTGTTCTTACCACAGTGGGAAGAGTTATCTGGTTTGGCTCCTATTCAGATGGTGAATTTCATTCTAATTGTGTACCAACCTTATTCACTAAAGTCATGGCATAAACCAGCAGTTCAGTGTCAACCCCATCTTTCTCTTCCAAGATCTCCATTATATTAGACCATGGCTTGACTCCTATAAGAGAAAAGCAGAGAGCATTGGAAATAATTGTTTATGTTCTGATTTACTGTGTTCACATATATTGCACAATTTAAATCACACGTCCCCTAAAGCAATAGCACCCAAAATAGTGTCTTCAAATGGAAATTTTCAGACATGCACATTTTAGTTAAAATATGTTATGTTGAAAGTAGGAGACGCCCCAGGTTAAGGGTAGCTCAAAAATTCCAAAGGCCTCTGATTAGAAATTATACATTTTTTTGTACACCATAATTCATAGAATCACAGAATTTCAGTGCTGGAATGGAGCTCAGAAGTCATTAAATCCAACTGCTTTACTTCATAGAGGAGGCTTAGAGAAATGAAGACATCTGCCCTGAGAGAAGTCATTATTTTACTTTTATATTAATAACCAATTATTAATTAGGATCCAGGCTTTTTATTTCTCATTCAGGGCCCAGCCCCTATAGAAGGTCCATTAGTCTCTGAAGGACATGGCTGATTGATGAGATGCCTTTAACCCTTGGGGAACTTGCTCCTCAATCTTGGGCCAGACCCTACCCAACCAGAGTAGGAGAGAGTATAAAGAGAATCCAGTCCAGGTGAGTTCTGGCCCCATGGAGAACAGCCCTGTCCTTGCACCTCTCTATTAGAATTTAGGGTGACCCAGATTATGAAGGAGAAGACCAACCAGAGTGGTCTGGATGGAGATGAATTCTCCTGTCCAAACTGCTGGAAGTGGTTGAGTCTCATGATCAAGCCATGTTTTCAGCAGGAGGAGCTGAAGACTTTTAGTCCACCTCCTTATTGAATATCCACCAATCTGGGTTGATTTTCACTTGCTAGGGCACCTCCTTTTAGAAAGATATTTAAAACATTCAGTGTCTCCTTTGGGGGTCTTTGGTTTTTTGAGAGAAACTATGGATCATCAATTTATTGATTATTAGCTAGCCTAATTAATAAATTGATTATTAATTATCCAGAAACTCTGTCTCTCGGATTTTTCATTTGTCACAGTCCAGAGAGAACAGGAGACACATGTTGTAGAGCCAGGGCATACACCCAGGGCTCCTAATCCATTGCTCCTAATCCATTCCCCTCTAGTTGTCCATGTGAATCTTTATCATTACAGTCTACCTAGAACTGAGGAAGGAGGGGAGTTTCTGAACTTAGTGCCTTTCATTCTGCTTCTCACTCTTGGACTGGAACAAGTTCATTATTCACTGGTACATATTCTCACCTTTGGAAAACAGACAGTAATGCTGGCTGACTTCTTACAACCATCGTGTACCATGATTCATAGAATCATAAGAGTTTACAACCAAGGGGATGTTGAGATATCTAGTCCAATTTAACTTTTTACCAATATCATAAAACTGGTTAATAATGACAGGCATGAGTGGGTGTGAGTGCATGGAGATTGAGGCGGGGGGGGCAGGCAGAGGGGAGTCAGGGTGTGAGGACTAAAAGCCACATTTGTTGATTTAGGCTCCAGAATTCTTTTCCCTATACAGCGCTGCATCTTATCTTTCTGAAAATGCACATATAAATATTAAGTGTCTGTTTTACAGGTGTGCCCTGCTTTAAGAAAAGGCCACATACAAGGTTAATTATAGAATATTGTATTTTACATTAAAAATATAAGCTAATGAATGGGGAAAATATTTTCCAAATCCAAATTTACAGAACAGAAAAATTAGGAGCTGATTATTCATACTAACCAATAATCCTTCCTTTAACAAAAGGATTTAATACTTCAGGCTACATAGATCATCTATTTCTAACTATGCCTCCCCCCGCCCCATTACACCATTGTGAGTGCCCTCGTTCAATTTAAAATACAATTTACCAAAAATTAATTCACTTGCCACTTTTAAGGACCATATCTAACTAATTCATATTATATTAGTAAACTACATGTTTATAAATAACATCCAAACCCTCAAGTTTGGTATTTTAAAAGAAGGAAAACATGTACTGCTAGAAGCTTCTGATTCACCACAAGAACTAGCCATTTACAGAAAGATCAGTTACTTATCACCTTCCTACCTACCTATTTCCTGCCTGTCTGCCTTCTTGCCTGCCTCCATCCTATCTCCTTTTTTACAACTGATTCAACAAATATTTGTAGAACATCTGTTGTGACTACATTACCATGTCAGGCACTGTGCTATACAAAGGTGACTATGATGAGCCTCTACTCTCAACTGTAAGAAAAAATCATGGTAGAATACATATATCAATGGAGCACATAATAATAACTCACATTTATAAAGCACTTCAAAGTTTTTATTATAGAGCCCTGAAGCCCCTCAGGAGAGATGTCCTTCCAAGTTCACACCAACCTATTAATAAGCACTCTTGGAGTCTGAATGTCCAACCATTTGCAAATCCACCTAACTGAACTATTATTTAGCACACAGCTTTCCATCTGTACACCAAAGTATCATGAGAGATTTAGTCAAATGTCTGGCTGAACCTGAGGCATACAATGTTTATGGAATTCCCCAGTGCTCACAAGTACTACCTAATCATATCTTAGATTATGGGGAAAACAGAATTGGGTGATTTATTGTCACTGTGTGTAGGAATTACCAAAGAACCATAGCTTGAAATTCAACCAAATAGGGAGGGAGTTGCTTCCAGAATAGGATACCACTCCTGTCAACAAATTCCCACATGAAGAATAATTGAGGAAATAGGAGCTCTTTTTCCTGGAGTAGATTTGTTTAAAGAGAGACTTGATAGTTACATTCAAATATTTGAAGGGCTGCTGTGTAGAAGAGAGAATCAATGGTGCCCTGGATTGTTCCTCAAGGAACAACTACAATCAACAAGTGGAAGATATATGGAGACAATTTCAGTTTAATGAAAGAAAGAACTTCATAATTGCTGGAGAAGTCCAACAATTGGATAAAAACAAGGATGTGCTGAAGCCAGCTCAAATTAACTTGTCAGAACCATTGTTGAATGTTCCACGTGAGCCCTAACACCTCGGAAAGTGGCAAATGCTACAAACCAAGGCTTGATTTATTGTTTTGTTGATCATTATAGAGTTAAGAAAGAGATGAAGAAAATGTGAATAATACAGATTTAACATAAAAGTGTGTTACGCATACATTTTTTCAAAGAGCCAGTTGGTAAACATATACCAGCATACTGTTGTATAAAACTTTTTTTAAAATTTTTAATTAATTTATTTTGAATTATCAACAATTACTTCCATAAACTTTTGAGTTTTAAATTTTTCTTCCCCTGCCTTTCCACCTCCCTCCCCAAGACAGTGTGCAATCAGATATAGGCTATACATAAATATTCCTATTAAACATATTTTCACATTAGTGATGTTGTAGGTAAGAATTAGAACCAATAGAAGGAACCACCAGAAAGAGGAAACAAAACACAACAGAAGAAAAAAACAGCAAATGGTATGCTTCAATCTGCATTCAAACTCCATAGTTCGCATAAAACTTTTTTAAAGTAATTGGATTCAAATCACTGTTAGGGTTCAAGCATACTCTGCATGGAAATACTTTGGATGTATTGGGGGTGGGAGGATTTCTATCCTTGGAGGGAAGTTAAATTAGATGACAGATAAGGTCTTTTTACTACTGTTATTGAATAACAAAATCCACAAATAATATCCAACTCTGAAAGAAAGACTTCTCCCCAACTTCTCTTCTAGATAGAAAAATATTTTCCCTATCCTTTATAGTTTCAGCAAAAAAATCTGATATTCTGTAATGGACTTTTCCAGTTCGCAGAATCATATATTGAGAGCTGAAAGGGCTCTCAGAGGCCTTCTAGTCCAAACTCCTAATTGCATTCATATGCTCCTTTCAATCATGATCGACAAGCAATGATGGCAAGCATAATCTGCAACCTACTCTGTCCTGGGCACTTTGAGAGATACAAAGAAGCATTAGACATGGCCCCTTCCTTCAAAGGGCTCATAGTCTAGATGGGGCAGGCAGGAAAGAGGCAAGTTACATGAAAAGACAGCTATCAGTCACCAGGTACTAAGACCTAATTGGGTGAAACAAATATCATGGAATTAAGTGGTGGAATGGCTCCTTGTGAGATGGGTATAATCAGGAAAGATGCTTGGGATTGGGGGAATTTGAGCTAGGTTTTGAAGAAAGTGTAAAATTTATATAAGTAAACAGAAGGTAGGGAGAACATTATGGGATGAAGGATGGGGGGAATAGGATGGGGATTAATTAGGTATGCCATGCTTTATAAATAATGAGTATACTGGTTTGACTGCAGGAAGAATTTGTGGAAAACAGTAGGAAATAAAAATAAAGAGGGAGAATGACAATAGGCAATATAGGGCACTGAACACCAGGTTTATCATTTAAGACTTTATTTCATAGGTGGTATGGAGTCACTGAAGATTTCTAGAAGGGGCTATGACCATGGAAAACTGTGATTTAGGAAGATGAATCTGTCATGGGTATGAAAGAAGTGTTAGGACATGGGGACACTAAGTGTAGAAAGCTCAGCTGGGAGGCCATTGAAACAGTTCAAGAATTTGTTGATGAGGGCATAGAACAGGGTTAGTGAATAAGTCAACAAACATTTGTTAAGTGCCAATTGTGTGCCAGGAACTGTGCTAAGCACTAGGGATACCAAGAAAGGTTTAAAAAAAGCCAATAGAGCCAGGCAGTGGAGAGAAGAAGGAAGGAAATGAATGAAAGGGCTATTGAGAAGTCAGAATAGGCAGAAATTGGTGAATAATGATTTGTGGAAGAGAGATAAGAACGAATCAAGGTTTTGAACCTGGGATGATGTTACCTACTATCAATGGAAATAGGAAAATGTGCAGCGAGGGAACTTGGGAGAAAGATGATAGTTTGGTTTTAGACATAACAATGGAATAGCCAAGTGGAAATATTAAGCAGGCAGAGAGAGAATGAGAGCAGGAACAAAGTCAGGGTTGGTTATATAGACTTACATATGATCTGTTTTAGTGGTGATATTTGAGGAAGAATTGACATTTTCAATGCACTTTT